GTCTACTTGTTTGTAATGAGTGCTCACCATACCTAATTCCCTTTCCATCTCTCTCTGCTTCCAGATGTCATCACTCAAGAACGAATGGACGAGGCAGAAAAGTGGAAACTCTAAAACCTACCCATGACTTCACTCCCCCGTGTGAATATGACCCCTCCCTGACCTATATTTTGACCCCGACCGTCCCCATTTTGACTTCCATTAGAGATTGTTGTGGAAACGTACAACAAATTTTTCGTCCCTACACCGCATTCTTTCTGCTTCCGACCCGAATTTGTGTCTGGGTGGTCAAGGCACTGGTGAATTGTTGCTGCTTTCTAACTCCTGGTCCTCCTTTTCAGACAGACGGCTCGTGGGTACCATAACGCCACCTGTGGTTACTACAGCTAAAACCTTTGACTTCTTATCACATAATGAATCATTTTACGCTAGTTGATTTCAGTTTGCTGACCAACTGCATCCCAACATTATTAAATAGTAACATGCACGTAGCTACCACGGGAGTAATGAAAAGAAGTTTGCGCCATTTCCAGCTTACCACTCAACGTTTTAACGAAACCTGACATGCTCAGTTATTCAGAAGAGAAAAAGTGGTATAGAAGGAGAATGGCAACATTTATCATTTAGCTTGAACGAAACATATTATTATTATCGTTTTTATTATTAACATGGTCATGATAATGTTGTCGAAGCCCTAGTTCTTCTCATTAAGTGAAAAATGAGCATTGGTCTATAAATTGTATCTACGTTGCCGATCCTTCAATACGTTGTTTGCTAACACATAGTACTGATTTGGTGGAAAAGCTATTAGAAAGAATCGCAAACGTTTATCAAGGCACTTGCCTGATTGAGTTTATAAGGCACACGCAAGCAGAGTTCAAATTTCTTTATGAATGGTTCTTTACCACACGTTCCACAAAGTCAGCGAATATTTTGAATAATTACCATTCTTGTTATCGCAAATTGTATAATTGACGAGACAGTAGAACCCATTAGATGTTGACTGGGGTGAAGGTCACTTGTCACAAGTTACAATGGCCATATGTGAAAAACAAGATGGACAATGAACGTGTCAACAACTGTACGTGTTCAGTTCTAATGTGTAAGCCAATCGCAAAGCGCTCACTCATCCCCCATCCCCTTTCAGCCCTCACTCTCACAATTTATTTATCGCTCAACTCGAACCGTTGACCTTAAGCCCAGTTATGAGTTAACAAACGATGCTGTCTTTTCACTAATATGATTTGTTGACGCAGTATTGTGAATTGTGGAAAACAATGGCTAGTGCTCAACTACCAATATTTGCCCGTCAAATTATATCGTACACAGAGTAAACGAAGTGTGAATTGAGCTTTTGGGAAGAATTGTACAGCTGTTTCGGTATGGTTTGTTCTCATCAGCATTGCGAATCTATATACCTGGCTGTGGTGCGAGGAAGGAATACCAAGTGTAGAATGCGATCAAAATCAAAACTCTGCCACTGAGCAACTGATCAGATAGTTTTTACTTTTTATATATATACTACATAGCACACCTATTTTGCCAAGGTTATTTGGGGCATCTCAACACATGTTTCCAAATGAGCCATAAACCGGGGTATTACCACATCACCATCTCTGTTTCCTTCTTTACACAGTC